GCAGCCACCAGCCAGCGCCCGCGTGTGCGGCGCCCGGCAGGGCCGTGGACCGAACCAGCCCGACTGCCCGGTTCGGTTGGACCGGCAGTCCGGTTCAGACCGGTTCAGACCGGCTGGACCAGTTCAGTCAGTTATTTTCAGTTTTAGTCCCGGTTTTCAGTTTCAGTACTATTATCAGTTAAAATTCCGGGTTAAGTTCAGTTCAGATAATTATTTTTCAGTTCGGATAATTACTATCAGTTCAGTTCCGTACTTAGCCGATTTCAGTTATATCGATTAAGTCCGAATATCATGTTAAACTTAAGAAAGCATCTTAACATAAGTAATCAGTTAAATTTATCAGTCTGAGCATAGCCAATAGTAATTGTTTATATTATTTTCAGTTTGATCAGGCATCAGCACTTTCCATCAGTTCAGTTTTCAGCAAATTCAGGTGGGGACTCAGACTAAGTATATACATGGTTTATAATCACGTTACCATGGTCGAGGTATGTATATTCAGGTCCGCTCGGAATGGTCGCCGGTCCATTCTGGGTTCTAGTGGCCCTAGTCTGCCCACTAGAGTGTGCACATGGCGTCCGGCTTTGCCGGCAGATGTTCAGTTTCAGTTCAGTCGTGACTTATGTCGCGAGATTCAGTTATCAGTTACGTGACTTCGGTCGCGAGATTCAGACCGGTGTATCAGTTATCAGTTTCAGTTCAGTTCAGTTATATATACTCAGTTCATGATCATGTTATTATTTACGATGTAATACATTAGCATGAGTTTCCGCGGAGCACAGTGCCTTAGTGCTCACGCCCCACATTTATCATGTTTTCAGGTCACAGGGTCGGCGATGAGCAGTGAGCGGGACGGGCTGTTCAGGACTTTTATGACTGTTGTATTTTATGATGAATCACGTTAAAACTTTTCAGAGCTTATTATCAGGCTTATATGTTAATTTGCCACGCTAAGACTTCCGCTAAAATTCAGACTTTGTTCCGACGTTAGTTGGATAATAAATTATAACCGTTTCACGTTTCAGTTTTTAAATTCTAACGGTTTTCAAAAGTCATGTTTTCACGGTAGCATCCCGACCAGTTTCGCAAATTAAAAAGTTAGTTTGTTTATTTATTTATTTATCCAGAATATTTGCGAAAACCGCGTACTCTGATGTATAACAGTCAGCGGGGTGTTACAGGTTTCTTATCCTTCTTCTCGTCCCGAGACTCAGCTTTTGCTTTAGTTGCTTGCAAAAAGTCAGCTTCAGCTTCCTCGACATTCATGTACTTGGCGCACCTTCCCAACACCTCATCGAACATCCTCCCGGGTCGTTTTGCTAAGGAGTTTCTGCATAATCCCGGGTGTAGTCCTCGAGTGAGTCCTCCCGACTTAATTTCCTCATTGGCCGAGGGGACATTGACGCACGCCCGTGTGTACCTTGCCACATAATCCCTCAATGTTTCCCCTTCTTTCTGTTGCATACCTATCAGAGTAAGGTAAGACTTTTCTTGGGGGCAATTGATGAAACCGAGGGCAATTCAAGTGACGGCTCCCGGGGGCAATTGATGAAACCACTCTTGTGCAGGTCCTCGCAGAGTCGTCAAGAACGCTCGACATTGAACGGGATCATTATAGCGGTGAAACACTGCCATGTTTTCAAAACTCCTCATATGTCGAGAGGGGTCAGTCGACCCGTCGTACCAAATGTAAAGTTCTCTAGACCCCTGAGGCAAGTCAGCATCTAGAATGTATTGTGAAAAAGGATGTCCCCTCAAGCTTTATGTTTTTCTCCCCTCGACTCGAGCCTGCAAATCTCGCACCTGCGCTAACAATTGTTCCAGGGTGTCATTTCTCGCTTGTGGTTTGACAGTCCTGACAGAGGATTCCTCTTCATCTGCCCTCTTGTTCTGCCTTTCATGTGACTGCGCCTGCTGTTCGCGTTCAGGGGGTTATTGTTCATTTTGGGGCTGCTCGACCCTAGCTTGGTCGATCCTAGGCTGTTCGACCCTAGGCTGCTCGACTCGTGTCTGTTTGATTTGGGTTGCTACAGCTTCGGCAATCATCCTCTGCATCTCGCTTCTCGTCATGGTCAGTGTTTGCTCCTCGATTTGGGGTGGTGGCCTTGTCTCCTGATCAAGTCGCCCAGGCTGCCTCCCCAATCTCATAGATGTTTTGGTCGATGCGTGACCATTCGCTTCTCCGCTCGTGTCCTTCACGTGACTGGCTTCCCCTTGGGTGAGAACTGAGATTTGACTCCGGGTGGGGTAATAGGCGTCTCGTCCTCCATACGCCCTCCTGACGGCGCGTGTGCCCGAAACAGAGGGAAACCAAACACTTGGAGCGGTAGTCTGACGCTGGGAATCGGCGGAGGTCGCTTGTCGGTCCATGTTGCCCTGAAATCGTCGTTCAAGTTTTTCTGCAATCCTTCCTTCTCAGCCATCGGAGACAGATCTAAGCTAGGTGTAAAGTTCTTAATTCCTTCAAGAACTCCCCACAGACGGCGCAAAAATGATGGGTCTCCTCTCAGACCTGGAGTGAACCGATGAAAAACCGCCCAGATCTGGAATGAACCGATGGGAGTGAGCTCAGATCTGACTCGATAGCCTCCAAACCGTTGCTGAACCGTGAGAACACCTGCAAGAACTCAACACTGGAGGGGTTTCCGGCATAGATCCTCTGACGCTCAAGTCAGTATGTGAAAGAGATGAAGAGAGCTGCTCTGAGAGAGCAGCAGGAGTAATGGAGAAGAATGTAGAATGAATGGGAGTTAGGGTTTTGGAGTTACCTTAGCTCCTTTATATAGAAGTAAAACATTTACCTGAAGTCCCCAAAATGCCCTGGCTGACTTACTGGAAATGTCCAAAATACCCTGATTGGTTCGCATTCCGTCAACTTCCTAGTCAGCATCTAGATTCTTCCTTATCTTTGGTAGCTTCCTTGTTATCCTTAACTGTCCTCCGATATGTTGAAGTGCACTAGAGAGTCGTCGATATCTAATGAGCTTCAAGACTTCCTCAGTCGACTCGGGATATCGACTCGAGTCGACTGGTCCATATTCAATTGTTAGTAGATCCTGACACATTTGATCGTCTTCCAAAAGGAAATCCACTTATGTTAGTCGACATGTGGAAGTCGACTGGGAGAAATGCCTGGACCCTTGACCGGAGATACCATAGAGAATCTGCGGATAGAGTCGACTTCACGTAAGTCGACTCGGTGGTCTCTGAACCGTGATGGTATTGAACCGTTATACGACAGTATAGCTATATCAGTGGGATACAATATCAATATTTTGAGAAGAAGCTACAAGTTTAGGACCGCCAAGAACACATATGGTTTTTATAGGTTGATGAACCTTAGTAACTTGAGAAGACTCAGAAAGCTCCATTTGGTGTGGAGAGCTCATAAAAAATGATCGGTATATTTGAAGAGAAAGTTTACGAAGAGATAAGTATTATATTGTTGCACTCTGACAGAAGCAACAGACAAGTAAGAAGTTAAGCTTTAAATGAGCGTTATCTATCAGAAGGGATAAGATATTCAATACCTTATTATAAATAGGGTTAACAGAGACAGTTGTTGCAAACAGGATCCTTAGCAACAACATTTTCAAGACTATAGCGGTTTTGTTCATTTTTGAAACAGAACCATAAAGAAATAAGTTCTCGATGCACATATCCAATAGGATGTGTCTCAAGAATCTGCTGGAGTGTTTGATCAATGGATTCTTTGCTCAATCCATCCTCGATGAAAGCTATTTTATCTTCTTGATTTTTGGAGACAAATCCCACTGATTTGCATCGGGTGTCGCAGTTCCATCGAGCACATTTGAAGCATCCACCTGTTCTTTTCGCTCTACGTTTCTTTGAAAGAGTACTTCTACCCATACCTGGCAAATATTTATATAAATTTGGGAATTCTCCAAATAGTAAGACTTTTGCTTCAATCAACCATCGAATATCATTGGGGATATTATGGAGCATTAGCACTCTCAATCTTTCCACTCGAGCTCGATAAATTTTTCTTATGATATTAAGTGGAAAAAAGGAATAAAATTTACGAATATTTGAAAGAGCTAGATCCATTTGTTATTTCGTACCATTGCTGAAGAAAATTTAAGGATTAGCGAGTCTGTTTATAGAAGAACGATGCATATGAGGTAAGTTTCTAGTGATAGATTTTAGCATTAAAATATATCGAAGTCAGAGAACGCAACTGGTATGCATTTAATGCAGCCGAAACTAGATGTGAGATGTCGACAATATTCATAGTATGATTTATTGCAATGTTACCGATTTTAATTTGTGTCGGTTTGCATTATTAGAGGTAAGATAAGTTACTTATATGGGTGAAACTGTGGTATGATCAGTATGGGTAAATTATTTCACAACAATGCAGTAATTTCAACTCAGTTATCTAAGAAATATTGAATATTTAAGTTTTGATATGTATACAATTAGAATGCATCTTTAGTTTGGCATTTCCGAGAACGGAAATATTTTTAAAGAGGATAGATTGTAATGCCCCGTTGAATTGTGCATACTTTTGGATTATTATTATTATTATTATTATTATTATTATTTTTTATCGTTAAATAAATTTGTATTGATCAAAATTGAAAGTCATACAACCGAGTCGACTTTCAAGAGCGTAGTGGGTTACCACAAGTCGATTCCTCACTCGCAAACACAAAAATAACGAGAACAATGTTCTCCTCCATCCAAGATCTTCTAAGTGCTCAAGCACTTGGCATCAACCATCCCCAAAAATTATCAAAATTTTATACTTCAACGTCTAGGCTTCTTCTCTCAAATTCGGCAAGAACACTCAGAAAAAAAGGAAAAATAGATCGGTAGACGTGGGTCTTTACCTTTCTAATCACAAGGCTTGGAGGTGTGGTTTCGCTCTCAAAAATCAATCGGTTTCGCGCATTCCAAATGATGTAGACGGTGGCCGCAAGCGCCGCTTTTTTCAATTTGGCTCTCCAAGTTGTACCTTTCCCTTCTTTTTTGGTCCATTTAAGGGCACCTTTTAGAGTGGTTGGCATGTGACAGAGGCTAACCCAAACTCGAATTGCACTCCATATCTCCGAGCTAAAGGGGCACTCGAAGAAGAGGTGGCTCGAGGATTCGTTCGCGGTACCACAAAGGGGGCATGTCGGGTCTTCATTTAGGAACTCTAGACGATCTTTTGTTTGGAGCCTATTCATCACACCAAGCCATAAAATGAAGGAATGCTTGGGGGTATTGCAACTCCCCCAAACAACCCCGACCCATGGCTTCTCAATACCCTTTGGTCGAAGAAAATCGTAACACTTGCTAGTACCGTCTTGCTTGTTGCGTAAACTCCAAGCACGGATTATTATTATTATTATATATAATGGGTGTGATATATAAATATTACTGGATGATTTATTTTAATTCCCGAACGTCGTGCGATTGAACCAAAACTCGAGATTATTAAGTCGTACATAAATTATTATATTTATTCGTTGTCAATCGAATTGTTCGATACTCTTCGATTTTAAGTCTCTGTTCAATTAGAATTTTTCCTAAGTGTTTAAGTTATTCAGCTACAAATTCGATTTTATGTCGATATAATTCTCAACTAAATTTCATCCAGTAATCAAGTCATTTCAGTAATTAATTAATTCCGGTATGTTTCTTTTTATTAATGGATTTATAAGATGGGGTTAATTATTCTAAGATTATAAATAATGGAAGTCGAGTATATTTTAATTAATCGTTAAAGATAAATTGTGAACTGAACCAGTATGTTTGGTCATAAGTTGAACCTTAAGCAAATATTAGTCGAGCCTTTGTATTAAAATCTTAGAATTTTTCTAAGTTCCTAAGTCATTAAATTCAACATTGTAACATGCACCAGCCTGTCGGTGCGGCCTCCAGGTCACTACATGTGCTAATGATGGAAATTGTGATCATATTCCTTCCAGCTAATACATTAAGTAAGCAGTTGGAGTTTGATATACCTAATAGTTGACTAATCCTAATCTAAGTCGAGAATCTCAGTTCTAATTCATATAAGTCCATTATACTACACCTCATTTTCATGTGTGTAATCGAGGGAAAGCCGAAGAGAAATAGAGAGTAAGAGTTCAGAATTTATTTTCTTCATTTTTTTTCACTATTTAAGCTTATTTTTATGTCGACTTACGGTGTCCCGATGGGATTTGAAAACCGAGTCGAGTATTACTAATGAGTACTTACGTGAAAGTTCGAGAAGAAGAGAAGCCGTTGGTGGTCTTGATTTATCTTTTAGAGGTTCCGATCATTTATTTTGAGCTTACTTTTGTCGTCTTGAGAAAAATCTTTGGTCGTCTTTTCCGCTGGAATTTCGTTCCCGTCGTTTCGTTCGATTCCTTTAACCGAGCTTGTAGTTTTTCAAAGACGGTAAACATTTTCGAACCCTCTCGTTATTGCGGTCGTACTCGTATATCACATGTTATATATATATATATATATATATATATATAGTTCGTATTACCGAATCCTTATTTGAAGTTGGATTTTTTCGATTTTTATATGCATGATTTAATGCTCTGTTGTGTTGTAATTATGGCCATCAAAAACTCGTACTTTGTTGTTTAGGTCTGCTTGTGAAATGTAGTCTTTTCTGTTGGCTTTCTCGGGACTTTAGAATTTTGATAATCCGAGTTATACCGAGTGAGTTATGATTTTTATAAAATAAGTGCGCAAGCAGTTTTTGAAAACCCGACAGCATATACTAATAAATGTTTGACCTGTTTATAGTATCTTAATGTGCTCAAATGAGTTTGTCATCTTCTTGAAAGTTGTAGGGTTGTCTCTTAGCTTTCTAACAATACCAGAATCATGTCATTCGGAGGTCGGTAGCATGAGTTAGACGATAAATACTGAGGTGCTGTTTATATCATATGTGAGTCCCGGACAGATTTTATGAATCAAAAGTTTTGTGTTTAAACTAGTTGATAATATAATTATTTGCCAATGTGACCATCATAAAAGTTGTAGATATTTGAATTAGCTATCATGTGGTTTTTGAATCTCAATAAAAATATGTCTGTAGCTCCAATTAGCTAACAATTAATGAAGTCTGGTCAGTTGCATATTCCCGGTTTTGGACTGTAACTCTATTCTAGGTGTTTGCTGATTTATCACCTGTTAAATGGTCTTATTTGCTTTTGGTATCATCATAAAAATTTTAGATGCATGTCTTAGGGTTCTAATGAAACTTGAATCATATTCATATGAGTTATGTACTGAAAGTTATGTTGATTTCAAAAATGCTGCCCGGATTAAGTTTTGAAAAATGTACGTAGTGTTTTCGAAAATAGGATTTCTTTGATTAAATGCTT